TGGTGGGCTCTCGCTGGTGTCGCCGGCCCCGGCGCCGAGCAGCGCGGGGTGCTCGTGTCGTGTGTCCGCCCCAGCACAGCTGAGATCCATGTTCCTTCGGTAAGGGGATCTGTTCTAAGGAATGGTTAGTTTCGACGTGTCGCCGGCTGAGCTTTCGCTGTCCGGTGTTGCCAATTCGGCCACATTGTTACTGTAAACTTTTCTGGGGGTGTGTGGATGCTGTAGTTTTTGTACGCTCTGTTGCCAAGACCTAAAGTGTCTTCTGCTGTAACGCCTGCTTTACTGCTACTGCATTGCTAGGATGCTCGCCCTGTGGTGAAGAGGCACTGGAATAAAGTTGAGAGGGGCTTAAGCCTGTAAAAAGAAAACCCTGAAAGCTGGTCGGGCCCTTGCTCTTTTGATACGAGAACAGGAAGTCAGATCACAAAGCTAAGAGGGAAATTTAGAGAAAGGGGGAAGGGAAGAGAAAATTCTTTGCATAGTCAATGCCAGAGGAGCTGCAGAGGAGCTGAGCGATGGTCGCTACCTCTGCGGGGTCAGGCCTGTGTTCTCCTGACTTAAGAACTACAGAGGCCTGGGGTCAGTGTTGGGTTGTGAGTGACATCATGTGCAGTTTCGTGGCTTCTCAGAATTCCAATGAGACAGAAATTTAAGAGAAGTCTTGAAATTCACTGGGGTGAGGAAGGGTCCTGGTCCGTCTTGGTGAGGTATGCATATTCCCAGCTTCAGCCAGGAGTGCCTATGTGGGGATGTTTGTGTCTTTGCCTTCCCTATCTGTATGTAATATGCACCTTGGGTAAACTTCTATGGCTTTTCTTCCCAGAACTGTCAGTTTATTAATAAAGTCTTGCATAGTATTCCAAGAAAAGTTGTATGAAAGCTTAAAGATGCTGGAGCCACTTGTCTAGGAAGACTGCGGAGTGTAAATTGTGCTGGAGATAAACCCAAGTTTTATTGAAACAGCAGTGGTTGTTGCCCTTTTGTGAACTGTATGGTTATACTCTCAAGTCAGATTTTGAAGTGGTTCCTGTTATTTGCAGGCAAAAATGTTTCAGCGCTTTTCATCGATATAATAATGTGCCTGTTTACTATTTCACATGGAATTATGAACTTGTGTGCAAACAATGAAGAGCCTTTAGTATTATCTGTAAAAATAAACATTCTTGAAATCTAAGATATAGTATATGATCAAAATACAAGTCTAAAACTAGATACCTGCTTTATTTTGGTCTCTTTAACCTTTATTATTAAAGACATTAATTTAGTCATGACTTAGTAGGAAACAACAGTATCGAACGGATGCAAATTCATCTGGTTTTTTAACAGTGAAATACTCCACTGTAAAGTTGCACTGATGCCTTGTTTATGTAATAATGATCATCCAGATGAAATTAATAAAGCTAGTCTGGCATTTTCCAATGTGTGTAATATTTTATTATAGTTATAATTTTTTTCTCCTTTGCTTTTGGTGGGCACACAAGTATGCGGTGGAAGATTACTGCATAACAGTATTCCTGTTGCATAATTTGAGAGGGTTTTGTGCTTGTGCTGAGATCGTAATGTGAACATAACTCCTCAACAAAGAAACAAGACTTCTGGTAATCTTGACAGATCATTCAAGCAGCTCTGTACCCATGTGCTCTACAATCCTCATTTAGCAGGGGGGAAAAAAAAAAGTCACTTGCTGAGCAGTCTCTGGTGTACATATAAAGTGGGAAGGTTATGCCTTTCTGCATGCTAGCTACAGGGAGTTAATTTTCCTTTAAATCTCTCCTCCTTTCCCATGCAGTGTAAAATTTACCACTTGATTTTTCTCGTATTTACTTCACTATTGTGCTTTCTTTAGGCAACCTGCCCAAGCATGCAGCACTGCCCCTGAATCGGCGCTTGAGCTGAAGCAGATCAGTCATTGTCCCAGCCTTTCAAACCTTACTCAGGTCACAATGGTGCCGTTGGGGCACTTGGCCAAAGGGGCCACTTTGGAAGATCTTCTTGAAACCTGCATTCAGTCTTTTGGTGAGTGTCTGGAGGTTTTTAAAATTTTATTTGTTTGTTTCTGTCCTGGATACGTTTAGGTCACTTACTTGTGAATTACATTGATTTGTTAATGGAATAGAAAGGCATAGCTTGGAATTTTTCTATACTGTAGGTGACTTCATGTTTTTATAGGTTTGTGGATCTGTTTGTGCATGTGTATAATACATGTTAAGAGATTAGTGTGACTACTGCATTTTCTTGAGAGAATAAGACAAATGCTAGTCATCTATACTTCTGTGTGTGTTTTTTGTTGTTCCTTCAAGTACCAATTTGGTAAATTTTAACAAGTATCATTACATTTTACATATTGCAGTAATAGTCTTATAATGTATTGATGCCATGAAAAGCCGGAGCTAAAGACTCAATAGTCAGAGGGCTATGAAGCAGGTATTCTTTATTGCAGCGCCGGGCACACAGGGGATGTCTCCTCCAAACGTGCGCGCCAAACACCCTGTCATTTCAGGTTAAATACAATCACAATATACATATTCATTATATTTCTGAGAAATGTTTAGCATATTCATGACCTTTCCAAGAACAAATTATCATATATTAATATCTTTCATGCATGTCTGTCAGTGTCCTCAGGTGGTCTTTGGGGGTCTCAAGATGAAGGCTTATACTCCTCATCACAGTGTCTGTTGGTTGACCTTTGTTTCTGCGCTGACTAAGTTCTAAGATCACATATACCGTGTCCTTCCAGGTTGTTTTGCTCCGGTCTAGTTGCCCTCTTGGTGCCTCTTTATCTCTGTAGCTTGGTACATCTGCCCTCCCAAGGCTGAGTTGTCTGGGGTAGAATTATTTAGGAGCTTTTCTATCTTAGAGCTTTCCTGCCTTCTCAAAACAGCAAGTCGAGTTTGTCTAAGTAGTGTTATTGAGGAGCCTCTTTATCTTAAAGCTTTCTTGTCTGCTCAGAACAGCAAGGATCTAGTTTAGTTTAATTACAATCACTCTGGTAAGTGGAAATTTTACATTTACAGGTATCAGTATGTAAACAATGTGTTTATACTAAACATTTTTCAATGAGCAGGGCTGTTTTTAGGTGGAATAACACTGAATTGCTTCTTGCATTATCAGTATAGGTTTAAAGTTGCTTCTCTACAAAAGAGAAAGAATCCAGACAAAAATCACAACTGTATACCTTTTACAGCCTATCAGTTGTCCATTTGTATTTTTACAGTTAGAATTGTAATATATGGACAAGCATGACTGTTGCCTGAGCCCTGTATCCCTAGTTTCCTTGTCCAACTTTTTCATTAGTAAATGTGTGTATTTTTTATATTATGAAAATATGTTAGTACTGAAGGCACTCAGAGTGATTCTGACTAATTTGCTTGTAAGTAGTGCATCTGTTAATGCTCTGTTTTTCAGTGCTGTGAGCTATTCCCAAAGCATATGTGGCAAAGTCTTAGTTGCAGAGTAGTCCATAGAAAACAAATGTACTTGAACACTCACTAAGCTCTAAAATAATGAATCTATATAGTTAAATAGTAACACATAGTGCTGATCTAGTGATACGGCACATAAATACTGTACAAACAATGACTAATCTTTCACATTCATTGGAAATGCTTGGGTTTTTTTAACTGTAAAGCCTCCTAATCAGCATGTGCAGAGAAATGCATGTCTGAAAGAAGCTGATGAAGCGTGTAATTGTTGGTAACTTTTTGTTTCTTTTAGGCTTCTTTTCTCCATTTAATTATTGTAAAAAACATATGCACTGAACTATAAAGGCTATAAGGACTATAAAGCCCTAATTTCTAAACAAACGTCAATTCGTATTTTTATAAGTTTTGGTTCACTGGGAGTGAGAGAAGACATCTAAAGTATGTGTAAGACCTTCATACAGTTTTAACATTGTGACTACTTAACCAATATTAATGTGCCCACATTTTTATGACAAAAAGGTATTATAAATGTAACTTTATAAAAATCTAGTAAAATTATTACAGTGATTGATTTCAAGTAGTGTAGGTGAAACTGAATGGGAGATTATTGTTGACTTAACTATTTCAATACTTTTTTAATACTCTGTGTATATCAGCATACACATGCTTATGTGTTCTGAGATTCCTGGGCATCTGTATGTTCTAAAGACTAAGGTGAAAAAGAAAAGCAAGTGTACCTGTCCAGTTCTGCTATATATGCATGTGAATCTTTCTAAAGGGTTTCATACTTCAGTTAGATAATTTAGCATAGTCTACTAAACAGGGTTTTCTTGAACCTTGGCAAGTAGAAAGAAGGTCTAGCAAAGTGAGTTGTGTTGCATCTGCAAACATAATCTTAAACCCACTAAGGACTACTAGAATTATGATGTGTGCTGCACAACTTTAGACTCTTCATTGAGCAATTTGTAGTAGTGCGTGTATTGGTACATCTTCTATGACATTATGCGTGTTCTTAAGCTATGTTGGAATTTCCCAGTAGGGTATTTAAATAAATAGTGAAGTGCAACAATGGTGGTGTTATACCTGCTGATTCCAAGAGTAAAGAGTTAGGAGGCCTTTTATATTCTCTTTTTTTTTTTTTTTTTTTTTTTTTAAAAAATTACAAACTTTTTTAG